TGTTGGCATTTGCTACGAATTGGGCTACTTGAGTACCTTCTGCCCCGTACAGAAAAGGATGTGATTTTGACTTTGGTCTCAAGCATCGCCAATCTCACTTCCTTCTCAACATTACTTAGTACACTTTTATGAGGGGACGGATCGCGATGCTGTGCTTCAATACATTTGCTGTGAAAGAATCTTGCTCGTCTCGCAGTTCACTGCAAATGAGTTCGGAAGGAATCGTTTTCCATGGGAGTGCGTATACATACTGTGGGTATTGCTTGCCACACTGTGGACATTTGTAGGTCACTGGGAGGTGCCTTGTAACCAGTCAGTGCGATCGTCCTCATGAAGAGAATGGTCATCGCCAGCCCGCCTGAGTGTCCATCCATTGTAACGAGCCATTTTCACCGTTCTTCCTCTTCTCCTCCCTCTGTCCCTACTCTCCTCTTTCCTCCTTCGGGTTCTTTCGTTCTTTCCGTCCCCCTCCATCCATAACCCCCTCCCCTTATCTCATTCCCTCCAGCCTCGTCCTTTTTATAAATCATTCTGCGGTGCCTTTTTAGCGCCCACGTTTTTAAGTGTCACATTTCCATATTTCAAAACTTGCACGTTTTATCTGTAAGTGACTGAGAAACCACAGGAAACTTAATGGCAGCCTATTGCTACGACAGGGCGGCAAAGCGAAATTCGCAGGTCCCAAACTCCTGTCGATTTTGCGACGGCTAAAGTGGACATATTAGTGAAAGATATCTGCGACGACCACTCGAGGAACCTTTGATGACAATGGCAGTTGAAAGTGTTAGATGTGGTGGTCATAAATGAATGTGCGTAATTCAGAACGAGTAGCTCATAACAGGAGGATTATAACACAAAGGACCCGATGCTCAATAAAACTCCGAGTGGTCGTTTTTGTTGCCAAAGTCTTCGTCACCTTTCTTCGCACCTTCTGCATTCTCAGTTTAGACAATATAGTGCTGGAGACATTTATTACCTTTGTATATCATGCATTTTGGTTATGTAGTTTTGTAGAAGTAAGTGGGAGCGCGTATAACTGTGTGTAGGTACACGCATTTGCGTGGGTATATGTATACAGATGTTTGTAAATTATATGTGTATATTTAGGGGTGTATTTATGTGCGTGTGTCTGTTTGTGTATGTAGCTATTTGTGCTCGTATATGCGTAGGTACGTGTATATCTATGTGTACGTGACGTGGGCATGAGCATGTATGTATGTGTATGTATGTTTGTAAGTTTGTGTGTGTATGTGAAAAAACAGGTTCCGGTATGAAAAGAATGAGATGACATTGATTTTGACAATACACTGGAAAGAAATGCGCGAAGATATAGAAGTGCGTAGTGACGGTCATGCAATTGTTGTGATCGTTAGGACCATGGAACAAAATGACCTGCTCTCATCAGAACACAAACGCCTCGCGCTCTGAGCAAACTTTCGTGGTCATTTTAACAAAAACTCTTTTCTGCTGGCTGAACATGAACATCAGTATTCGATCTGATCATCTTTGGCGATTCTTTCATCTCCTTGGACATTTTTTTTGACCTCGATCTGACTCATTTGATTTGCATTAGTTACTCTCTGGATTCATAAAATCAGTAATATCTTAAAATCATAAAATATGTGGGATCGTAGTATATCTGCATATATACCGTCAAAAAGCAAAAACTTTTGAGAGTAAATAAGGTAAAGTTTTTGACTTTTTACGTCAGCCTCAAAACTAATAATCGTAGTCATCCGCGAATACTACTTCTGTTGAGTTTGGGAGCCCCTTACTTTGATTATGCTATAACTACTTAACATTATATTTTAGTCTGCAGTCTTGTAATCTACTTTCATTCCTATCTCTTCGTCACTGAACGCATAGAGAAAAATATTTCTTTATCTGGAAACTATCTTATGAAACCTCTGCATGTGTGCGTATACGAGTGTTGAATGTGAAGCATACAAAAAAGCAAGCATCGATCAAATTCTTTTGACTTTTTGAATGAGTTTGCTGCTTTAGCATAAGTTTGAGTGGACGTTTGCGTGCACTTCCAAAGCGGTGTTGGAGATACAGCAGATAGCGGAAGGAGGGAAGGGCGGTTTGGTGGGCCTCAAAAGTAAAGAAGGAGAATGGCGGGAAAAGGAAAACAGTCCAGAATTGTCCGGCACCTTTTAACTGTTTTTTCTGGTAAATATGACATTTTTGGACGTTTCTGGAACTGGGGCCTTGCTATTTCCCAGATCAGTTCTAATTTCCCATTGACTATGCATTGCTCTCTTCAGGTGCTGTTCCACAAAGCTCAATTTTTCGCACTACCCACCTCATTTATCCTAATTTGATGGTTGTGGAAACAAAATTAATAATTTAAATGGTCACCCCCCAGCAAAAATGTGTTGCAGGATTTAGCTGGATTGAATAAAACCGCTTGATTCCGGATTTCGCGGCGCATCTTGGCTTTATGCGCATGCGGACATTCGACTGCATTGAGGCTCCGCTGTCGCGATTATTCTACCGCTACGGTCGTTACGTTGCGCAGCATCCGCTTCCGTTCATTACTATACCGATCCTGGTGACCGCTTTCTGCTCCATCAATCTGCTTCACATTCGACCAGTCACCGATGCCATCTATCTGTTCACGCCGCGTAATGCACGTAGCAAATTTGAACGTCAGGTTATTCACGATTTATGGCCACTTCATTATCACAATTATGTACCTGGACGAGCAGTGACACAGTTCAGGGAGATACAGGTCAGTACCACACTGTTATTTG